GGCAAGGGCATCTCACAGCCCAGGGACCCCACACATCCAACTTCCAGAACACACAATTTCCTCGCCACACTGATTCCTGCGTGCACAAGGAAAGCTTTGAATGCCAGTTTCATAATAAAAGCAAAGTCAGCCTTCACAAGGAACATCTTAATCTGATAAAGGGCTGTAGCAGACACATTAGACTTCATTAACAGAGGTAGTAATTGTTCCCATTTACATAATTCACACCCGAATAGTTAATGGCAAGTAACTATGTGTAGATTACATGGTAGGAAAGACACTGCAGAGTAGACAGAGCAGAGGGGAGGGCAGGTAGAAAAGATGGCATTCCAAACAAAGAAAAGCTAACATTCCAATAAAACCCTGCCAGGAGTACAAACACTGGGTATAATGAGAGAATTGACATGATTCACAACAACTTAGAGATGTACCAATCCAGAAAAAATGAATTCCTGTTATTTCCTAGCCCACCTCATACTTTAAAAACCTTTGTCTGCTACATTACTTTATATAGAAAGTGTGAAGCCCCTGTCTTTCAAGGCTATCTTGTAGATTTTAGGTTTGCCTAGTTTTGGAAGGTAAAAAGGCTCACTGCTTTTCATGTTAAATTTATTACTACTACACACAAAAAGGACAGAAGCAAGTTTACTTTGGAAACAGCAATCCAGCCAGTGCAGGACACAAGGCATTGAACCCATGGAATTCAGAGCTGTTTATCAAAATATCCCTGTGGCCTTGACAGCAAGAAAGCAATAATGATGAATGAAATTAAGACAGAAATAAGACAACAAAGTAACTGTTTATATTAGAACTGTCTCTCATTCCTAAAGAGCATATAAATAAATGTTAAAGCACTGCCATCTGTTTATATCCAATCCTTTTTAAAAGCTGGGGGGATGGTGCTGGTGGTGCTTGTTTTATATTTTTTGTATTAAATTCACCATCTTCCACATCTGCCAGGTGTAACAGAGCCTTTGTTCTGTCTCACCCAACACAAGATGTGAATTGATACACTCTCCCCCACACATACAGAGAAATCTTCCCAGAAAAGCATCTCAGAAATCCCTGAAATTCTTCAGGTGACTTTGACATTTTAAAAATATGTTTTGTAAAAGGCAGGTCATCAACTCTGACCCTAACACTTTTAGGGAAAGAAAAAAACCAGCACTCATTTGTCAAGGGAGCATTTTATTTCTAAACAGGAAGTGACATTCCTGTTAAACACTTCTTACATCTGAAAGGTTGGCAGGAATGGCACCACAGAACGTGAAACATCTTGAGTCCCTGTCCTTTTTAGACACCTACAAGATATCCCATTCAGCAAGAAACACCTGCAAGTCTGTAAATGAGTGGCAGAAATATTCATTCATTCATTTTCATCAATTTCCTAGTTAATTTCTTTCCCACACGAACACAATTCCTTTCAGGGCATCTACTTACTTAGCAAGGAAGACCTAACACAGCACATGCTCCGTTCTACTCTACAGCACTTTCTCTGCAAAAGCACTTTTAACTTTTAAAATTTAAAACCAAATTTTGTTTCTTATAATACCTATAGGTCTGGATGGCAGCATAAAGGGTCTGCTGTCACCATCACAGTCCCCTTTCTTTCTCTCTCTTTTCCCAAACAAACAAGACCACAAAAAAAAGGGCTTGTTATTATTATAATAAATACATATATTTATTTATTCATGTGTAGGGAGCCTGGCTAGGTGCACCAGGATTTCTTTAGTGCAATGACTGGGATGTAATTCTAAGTCTCTAAATTAAAGCAGACGTGAAGAAAACAAAACCATCATGTGCCCTTTTGAAAGGCAAAACACAAAAAGCAACAGGTATCAGAACTTCAACATATCATTTATATCACACATATCACTTCCTCGGGATAAACTGATTAAATTAACCCTGACTCCTCAAATTATGTAGAAGATTGAAGACCTGTGGATGGTGATTTTCTGTCACTGTATGATTAAAGAGTTTAAAGGCTCATTTTAGGGTACAAAGTCAGTAAATACTTTGTGTTTTTATCCATGGCTGTTTTTCTCTTTCCCACAGGTGGCACGCAACCAACAACCCACTTCCTAATAGCACAAACAAAATGTTCAAAGCACTACAAATATTTCAGAAGTGCCCAGAAGCACATGCAGCCAGCTCAGCCTAAAGTCACCATGGGCAACACCACAGCGCAAGGCAAAGCATGCTCCAGCTCCAGGAATTCCATCATAATCTCACCCTGACAACAATCGTATTGACATAACCCACGTGCTGCACAGCACCACTACTGCTACACCAGCACTGCATTTCCTGGCATCTCCTGCTCTACTCCTGCATGCCAGAGTTTAAACTTCTGGCTTAAAGAGCAATGGATAAAACTCTCCTCACCACACTGAACACCCTCTTGCAGCAAGAGTCAAAAACCCTCCTGTGGGTTCAGTCCTATTATTTAAAAAGCCACATTTATCTCTCCACACTTACATTTCTATCCAAACCATACTCAGCTAAAACAAGCCAGACCTTCCAAATATAACTTAAATTCTCCAGTGGCTTAGCCAGGTAAGAGTTGGAACAAAACTCTCACCCTAAAGAGGTTTTCAGGCTTGAAAAGAGGGAGACGTGAGGGATGTCAATGGGAGAGTATCCTGCTTCACAAAGTAAGGAATAGGGGCAAGGAACTCCAGCACTGGTGACAACAGCATGGTGAAATATTTCTATTCATGCAGCAGCATACAACTGCTACCAGGAACTGAAAAAGCGGCAGATTCAAAGAAAGAAAGGGAAAAAAAAAAGTAAGAACCCACTAAATACCAAAGACCCCTCAAAAACCAGCCAGGATTTCTCTCATCATCAAGATCTGCAATTCAGTAAATGGGAATAGGTCACATAAAACCCAAACTTGCCTTTTTTTGCTAATCAGTCCATTAGCCACATATTACAGATGAAAAGTTACGTGAACGGAATCTCAAAAAAAGCTCGTGACAGGATCAAAAAGAACGCTAAAAATTATGAGAAACATGATGCTTTAATATAGTCCAGAGAGCAGGTTTTCTACAGTTCAGGCTTCTGCTAACATCCCAACAGTGATTTAATTACACTTCAACTGGTTTCCCAGAAGTGGTGCAAGAAGTTCAAATTATTCAAAGATTATGATAAACTCACATTTCATTCAGCAGATCCCAACCTTTTTCTGGCTGATGGATTCAGACAACTCCAAATTTCTGGATGACACAGTAGGCATAGATTGACTGTTCTGGGAACTGCTGTTCTGTGATAAAAGTTCTGAACTGTGCTTCCAGAATTGAACTACGTTTCGTACAGCTGTTAACCAAATAATCACTGCTTTCATAACTGAAAAAAATCCCTTATTTTACTATGAATTCCAATGACAGCAGCATGGGCAAGGTGGCGATTTCTGTCTTATTCTATTTGGAATGGCTCTGAGGGTGCTGACTCACAACTGACCCTGAATTGGGGCTCACACCCGAGCTGCTGCAGGCTCCAGCACAAACTCCAGGACCGTGCCAGGCAGTGGCTCAGGAGGGGATGGATGTGTGTGCAGCCTCCTACGGCTGCAGACGCAATAATCTCAGGGAGCAAAGGAGGGCAGGCAGCTGGCGGAGGTGACTGCTGCACACATCCCTGGCCATTGTTCGAGAATCACAACCAAAAGCAGACAACTTTCTGTGGTTACAGCCTGTTGGATCTGAGCTAACAGGCTGCACGATCGCGCGTGGCCCCCAGAATGTGCTGGGACAAAATGCGAAACACACATTGCTCTTCAGAACAATTCTATTTTTATCTGTTTGCTTTCATTCTTACGGCTTGTGCACTCCTTCCCACCACCAGCAGCACCTCCATAGGTGTTTCTTTACATCTCTCATTTCCACCGGGGCTTCCCTTTAAACCATTTCACAGGGTATCAGCACCAACCATAACATGAAACTTCCAGGTTCAATCAATCGTGTGCTTCCTAACCAACCCTCAGAGCCCACACTCCCAACGAGACAGATGTGGAAGGGCAGCAATTCCTGACACAGGCTTCAGGATGGCAGCACGCTCAGAAACAAAGCACCGTGTCAGCTGACGCTGCCTCGTAGTAGATGCAATAAAATACATGAAACTGACCAGGCAGCGCTCGCAGAGAAAACACCAAAAACCCAGCATGGCCACAAGGTCTGGGCAGCAGACACGGCTCCCCGTTACCCCGGTGAGGTGACTGCGATAACAAAAGCGTGCGCTTCCCAAGGACAGGCTGACTGCGGAGGGGCGGAAAAGCCCGGCCGGGAAGGCGAATGGGCAGAGCAGGAATGACCGCCCGTGCGAGGCACGGCC